GTGGGGTGGGTGGTCACGTGAATGAGTTCTGGCCAATGGCCTGTAGGCAGAAGTTATACAGCTGCCAGGAAACCTCTTTTTCCCCCCCTTAATTGAGCTGAAATTCACAGAACATACAATTTACCATTTTAGCCATTTTAAAGTGTACAATTCAGTGGCGTGTAGTACGTTCACCATGTTGGGAAACTATCACCATGGTTTGGTTTCAGATCTGCTCATCATGCCCATTAGCAGTCATTCCCCATTCCCCCTTGGCAACCACGAACCTGCTTTCTGTTCCCATGGGTTTGCCTATTCTGGACATTTCATATGGAAGGAGTCACACAGCTCTGTGACCTTCAGGATTGGTTTCTTTCACTTAGCATAATGTTTTCAAGGTTCATCCATGGGACAGCATTTATCCGGAGCTCATTCCTGCTTATGGCTGCATAATATTGTTATATGGCTGTAGCCTATTTTGTTTACCCATTCATCCACTGAGAGACATCTGGGTTGTTTCTACCTTTTGGCTCTTGTGAAGAGTGTCGCTAGGAATGTGCTTATGCCAATATTCATTTGAATACCTGTTTTTAATTCTCTTTTTAAAAATGGTTGGCAAACCATTAAGAATCTGCTTACCTCCCTCTTCTTCCATCCTGCTGCCTGGAGTGTGGGTGTGATGGGGACAGAGGCCATCTGAGACCATGCAGGGCCATCCCCTGGGGATGGCAGAGCGGGAGCCTGGACAGAGTCAGGCCGCTGCCTTACCCGCCCAGAAGGGCCCACATCTAGACCTGTTGTTTAAGACAGAAGCAAGCTTCTGTCTTGTTTCTCTAAGCCATTGTTATTTGCGAGTTCACTGCCATTCATAACCAAGCCCAATCCCATATTTCTGAAATGTAACTCCCACCCACTCATTCTGCGGTCCACGTTGGGCAGAGATAACATGAGAAGCACAGAACAGATTCCAGGTCTCTCAATCTTCGTCAGCCTGGCTCTGTAGCTGAATCACCGGCCGCAGACCAGGGTTGCTCCCTGTGTGTCTGGGGTTTGCACGTGTCCTAGTTCCAGGAGGACCGCACCATCCGCTGCCGGCAGGTGGGCTGGCATGATAACTGATACTCCAATGGCTGGGTCTTCCCCACCTGCCCAGACCTTAGTCCCCATCTCCCCTCCCTAGACAGACTTTAATCTTACAGGTTTCTAGAGCTATTTGGGGCTGATAGATATACTAAAAATCATCTAGCCAAGTGTCTTCAAGCGTTTTGTTAGAAACCACATGAAAAAATTAGAGTGTTTAAATACATGGGTCTATAACAGAGTTTCACTGATATTTTCTCTTCTACTTCTTCCTCTTCCATTTTTTTTTTTTTTTTTTGATCGCTGGTCACAATCCACTAAACTGATTTTACAATCTAACGAATGACAACTGGCAGCGTGAAAAACAGCGATGTAATCCAATATTCCCATACTATAGGAAGAACACTGAACCTCCAAAAGGTTACAGAGTAGTTTGGAAGCAGAGCGTGGCCCAGAAACCAGGTCTGGAATCCTGGTCACTGAGGGGCTGTGAGCCATTCCCAATTCCCCCTCTTCTCCCCACCGCTCCCCTCCGGGCACCTGGGACCCCTAGCTCCTGGCCAGCCCCGCATTGGCCCCAGGCACACAGGGCTTTCCTCTCAGATCTCAGCTCTCTTGAGCCTGGGCAGTTTCCCTTTGTCATTCCCCCACGTTCAGACATGTTTGATCCCTGTGCAGCACGGCCGGGGGGTGGGGTGGGGGAGTAGAGTTTCTTGGCACCCAGGTGGTGGGGAAGACGGGGTTCCATTGGCAGCTGAGTGAGAGCCTAGCAAGGTCCCCTGGGGTCATGAGGAATGAACCCTGGACTGTTGTTCTGAAGGGGTGAGGGTCCTCGGGCGAGCTCTCCACATCTCTGAGCGGTGCTCTCTCCATCTGTAGAAGGGGACAGTGAGACCGGAACGTCCTCCCTGGTAGGGTTATTATCGGGATCCCATCACTAGCGCCTGGGCCCCCAGAGGTGAGGGTGGGGAGGACAAATCCCTTATTATTATCGCACACATAATGCCAATAGCAGCAAAGGATAGAGGAGGGTTTGAGCTTCTTTCCTGGCTGCCACTGAGAACCTCAGATGCACTAGGCACGGTGCATCTTACCTGCATTATGTCCCTCAATAGTGACAAAAACCCTACGATGTCATTATCCCCATGTCTCGGATGAGAGATTTGAAAGTCCAGTCAGGTGACGTCACTTGCCAAATAACATGCTCAGGCAGAGCCTGGACCCAAGCCCAGGCTGGAAGCCAGTTTTGCTTGACCACACATGACTCCTAGCTGCCACCCGGTAGCCAATCAAGGGGACTGTGGAGTCAATGACTTGGGCACAGTTCCAGGAAGCTGTCACGGAGAAGGGGCCACCCGTAGCCTACTCCCTGCCTTGATGTTACATGGTCAGGGGGAGGGGAAGGAAGAAGGACTCCGTGGCCCCTTCACTTCCAAAGAGAGGTCAGAAGCTCCTGAACCAGGGGTTCTCCACCCTGGCTGCACATAAGAATCGCCTGCAGAGTGTTCTATTGGCCTGAGCCCCTTCCTAGACTGACTCAATAAGCGTCTCAGGCATAGGTCAGCATTGGTGGTTTTGTTTTTGTTTTTGTTTTTTTTTCTGTTGTTTTAAACTTGCCTGGTGATTCTAACAGGCAGGCGGGACTGAGAATCCCTCCCTTAGACTTATTCACCATTTAGCACACATCAGCACCCTCTCCCACCAACTGTCTCGCCTGAGCCATGTGGCTGCTCTGGGAGGGAGGTGGGGGGAATCACAGGCTCCTGTTCACGGAGGAGGAAACTAAGCTAAGAGCAGGGAAGGCAGACGCCTTCTGAACCCATCCCTCAGGCCCTACGAGAAACCCTGGGGCCTTGTTCCCTCCACTCCTAAGCCATAAGGAAAAGAATTTCTTACTTTGCCTCACACCCCAGGCCGGCATGCGGGCCCTGGGGAGCATGATTGCCCCATGTGTGGAGTGCAGCCCAGCAAGGTGGAGACAGATGGAGAGATTATGGGAGGTGAAGCAAAACAGCACACAGACAAGAACTGGGGACTTGAGAGGGGCTGGTGAGGGGGCCGGAGCGGGAGAGGGTCCTGGGAAGTCCTCCTTGATTAAAAAATGGACTTCATCTCATGGGGTTTTCTTCAGACCCCAAGGCAATGAGAGAAGAGGTTCACGAAAGAAGTTTCCAAGTAATAATAAAATATGTGGCCTAAGCACCCATGAAGCGGATACCAAAAGAGCCGCATTTTATTTTAGACTTATTTATTTATTTTAGAGAGATCGAGAAATAGCACGAGTGGGGGGAGGGGCAGAGGGAGAGAGAGGATCTTGAAGCAGACGCCCCACTAAGGGCGGAGCCCGACACAGGGCTCGATCCCACGATCCTGAGATCATGACCTGAGCCGAAATCAAGAGTCGGACACTTAACTGCCGGAGCCACCCAGGTGCCCCTAAAACAGCCCCATTTTAGAGATGCGGAACCTGAGACACGGGGTTAAGTAGCCTGCCCACGGTCACTCAGCCGGTAGGAGCACATCTGTGGATGCGCACTTGTAACCCTGGGGCTGTTCTACCTCCGCATGGAATCCTAGGTGGCAAAAGTGGAACCCTGGGCAGCCCTCACCGCAGGGGGATGCAGCTGCTGGCCGGTCTGGGTCCAGGGAACAGGGACCAGGGGCTGCCCCAGGTGACAGGAAGCTGGGCGGGGGGCTGAGCCAGAGAAGGGGCAGCTTATTCTCATTCACCCGCTGACCCCTGAGCCCCTGAGCCCCTGAGCCCCTGAGCCCGCAGGGGCGATGTGCCTGCAGAGGGAGCCTAGGTGTCACTCTGGTCCAGGGGGCTGAGACAGGAAGCCAGGGCCCCCCTTCTCGCGAGGTGAGCCCTGCACACTTCTGGGTTTACAGAAGGGCGGCAGGACCCCAGGAGGAATTCCTGGCTGCTTCTATAGCAGAAAGAGCCGCCAGTGTTCCAGCTCCAAGGAAAAATGTGTTGGGGCCGACCCACAGCCCAGAATGGCACGAGTCCTCGGCAGATGGGGCATGAGCCCAGGGAAGCTCTGTGCTCTGCCCAGGAAAGTAGCTGGCAAGAAAAGCTCACCGCCCCAGGGGGACCGAGGGTTAGTCCCCAGAACAGAGGTCCTCGCTGCCCGCAGGTGTGGACCCTGAGGACTCTGCCTCTGACCCAGGGCCCCCAAGTCCTTTGGGGGTGGGGAACAAGGCTCCCCCTCCAGGGTGGGCTCCAGGACGCTGCTCCACTTTGTGCAGAGCACGGCCAGCCAGGCCTTCCTCTGCCACCGTCGTCCCCACCACCGTCCCCACCACCGTCCAGGCTCCTCCCTCCAGCGGGAGTGGAACACCTGAGCCCCTGCTGATTCCAGCTAGAACCTTAAGTTAGGAGCCGGGCGTGCACCTGGGACCCTGGCTCACACCTGCCGACCCACCCACATTCATTTTCCTGTTCCCTGTGCCTGAAACACTCCTCACCCCACGAGGCTCCTGACCACGCCTAACTCACCATCCGTGACCAAATGCCATCCGCTTCCCAGGGCCTCCCCCAGCCCAAACCCTGGCTGAGCTTAATGTCCTCCTCCCGCCGGCCCCCACAGTGCTGGGTTTGGATTTGCAATGCAGCCTAATGACAGTCTGCCTTGCGGGTCACTTGCCGGTGAACTGGTGTTGTGAAGCACGGTCAGGCTGTGAGCTCACTGAGGGCAGAGACTCCAGCTCCGGTGGCTGGGTCCCCCACTGCATCTGCCGTGCCTCCTTTCCCTGGCTGTCCTACGCGTAAAATTCATTTATTCAAGAAACTTCTTCTGAGCACTGCCTGGCTGAGTGACTTGGTGCTGAGCTAGGAACTGCATGCGTGACAACGTGACAAATCCAAGGGAATGAAGGTATCCACCTGTCTCTCCCCTGCCTTTTGAAAAATTGAATTTTTTCCCTAACTGGCTAGTGTCTACATTCTGTCGTGACCTTAGGACATCTCTGGTTGATTTAGATGTTGAGCTCTTAGAGCTCAGAGTCTCCATGAGTCACGGGCACTGACACGCTGCGTGCGGCTGGGGGGTGGTCTCACGGCGGGCGGGCTATTGGGGGGTCCCTGCAGGGCCTGCAGAGTGATGGCCGTGCGCTCGCCCCCTGGGGTGAGCACGTGCCGGGGCCCAGGCTCCCTGCTCCCGGTTTCCTCTCATGGCGAGAGCGGTCAATACCAGAAGGAGCCCGGAGTCCGTCTACTCAGGCCTTGCATCTTGCAAACTGGAACCTGGGGCATGGTGATGTCAAGAAACACAAAGGCAGTTGGGAAGAGAGCTCAAAGGAGAAACCAAGGTCAGTACTGTTTTCCCGCGTCCCAGATGTCACACGTGCTCATCTCTGAGCTCAGCTCTGGTAAGAGGACAGAGTGGAAAGGGCACTGTGGGGACCTCATCTGGGCTCTGCTCCCAACTTCCTATGTGACCCCGGCAAGCCTGCCCACCTGGAGGAAGGGAGATGGCCTATGTCACGCTGACATCCCCTCGTGCTACAGTCTGTAGGGTCCAGAGCTCTTGTTAGCAACCCGGCGCGAATGCATGTTCACAGGAGCAAACGGGGGACAGGGGAGGGGCTCGTGTTTGCAGCCACCCTGCCCTGGGCTTTGGGATTACCCAAGTAACCAGCATTCGCCTTTTGCATCATGCTGAAGGGTTTCTTTGGCAAACCTTCCCGAGGTCCCAACGACCATTCACGATATTTTACAGGTTTGACTCATGCCCTGTTTGGGTTTGGCGTCGCAGTCAACCCACGAGGCTGAGCACCCCTGACAGGCAATAATTAGCACGCTGCCCGGCAGGGGCACCGACTAACGAGAGCCCAGATCCTCAGCAGTGACCACAGGGCCAAAGAACCCGTACTCCCCGTAGCTCTTTCTCAACCCCTTCCCCGGTGTTGCTGGAAGGGACGGCCTCACGGCACACCTGCTCCTTCTGCCACGGGAGGTTTCAGCTCATCAAGTCACTTTCAAAGAGCCTGCGGTGCTTCCGGATGTGTGGTTTACTTAGGAGCATTCCAGCTGTGCTAATGATTTTTTTTTTAAATCAACTTACATGCTGTCACTCTCGCTCTCCCTTGTAGTGCTGAGATGTGCTTTCCTTTGCCTACGTTCCTGACAGCTGGAACAATTGCACTGAGAAATAGGGGAAGCAGGGCTCAGCCGGCTTGAAAAGGCCAGACGTGTCCATCTGTCTAAGGGACGTGACATCCAGCTGGGTGGAATACCTGGCCATTACTCAGGACTACATTCCAAACATGTCCTACCCCCGGAATCGCGCTGGAGGGACGAGGCAGCCCCTGAGAAAGAGGCGCCCGTGAATACACCATCCTTCAGTACTAAGATCTGGCCTTCAGGGCCCCCCGGGGCAGATGTCCCAAGCCAAACACGGGCCTCTCAGGCTGGCCCGGGAGAAGCTTGGGCTTCCAGCAGGGACCTGGAGGGAAGATGCCATGCACTCACCCGTCATGTTCGCCTTCCTCTGCCTCTTCTGTGGGAATGGCACGGACAGATGGACGTAAGGTGTGGGGAGATGGCTGGGGATGTCCTTACCATTTATAGCAGCCTCTCCTACACATCTAATTAGAATTCTAATGAGGTGGGCGAGGCACCAGGTCATTCCTGTAGTGCCTGTAAACGTTTCCCTTACGACATATTTGTCATCCAGTGGAAGGTCATCCTGCTTGTGCAAGACCAGCTTGGGCAGAAGAAGGGAGATAAGAAATGCCAGGGGTTCGCTTTTGTGATTTTTTTTCGAAGACGAACTTCCTGGATTGCAGATATTAGGAAATGATGTCATGCTTTTCTCAAAGGACCTTGCCCAGAGCTTGTGCTAAGAAGTCCTCTGGGGGGAGGGAGGGGGGTCAAATGGATGTTTCTACAGAATCCAGGAGCAGAAAACGGCGTGGTCCTTTCTCCACGTACACAGTGTTGGTGTTTTCTGCTTGCACAGGAGGAAAGAGACGCTCTACACGGCCGGCTTGTTGAGGTTGCAGTGCTGCAGAAAGAGCGCTTGGTTGGGAGCTTGAAGGAGTGGGTTCTGATGCAAGCAGGGCCCTGGGCCATCACTGAACCTCAAAGCCTTGGAAGACCCCCAGTGAACCGGGGGGGGGTCATTGTGTCCACCCTTCTCCGCTCCCTAAGTGCTGGGAACGATCAAATGAGGTGGTACAAGTGTGAAGTGCACGGATGTGGACTGTAATGGAGTAAATCCAGACCGAGGGGAGACTGTTCTTTCTAAAGAGGCAGCCGGGACAGCCACAGAGCTAGTCGTGGTGACACAGTTTCATCCCGGTTCTGCCCCACAGTATCTGCAGGAGGGAGGGTAGGTCATGGTCGCTCTCTGAGCCCACGTTCTGCAAGGGTTTAAAAAGGGTCGGGGGAAGGGGATGACTCTGACCGTCTGCATTTTGCATTCGCTGGTTTGTCATTTACACATTTTTCAAAAAATCCTAGTGTGGATATTTACAAGTACCAAGGTTTCCTGTGATCGACAAAGGAGTTTAAAAACATCATAATGCTTCAAGGAGTCATGAGAGAGCAGAGATTGCTCAAGGCGTTCCCCAGGGGTAGAGTGAGAATGAAGATCAAGCATCATGATGACAAGATCGGGTCTCTAGGGAGAAGGTGGGAAGACTGGGCCTCGAAGAAGGTGAGACCGGACAGACAGGCGGGATGGAAAAGAGGAATCAACATCCTCCATCTGTTCTCTCGGCTCCCACAGCATTTCGTACCTGGTGCACTTTGGGCCCCCGATGGCCGTATGTGTCTCACTGGGCTGGTTCCTCCGCTTTGGTCTGCCCCCATCCCTAGACTGAGCTCTTGAATATACAAACTGTGTACCATTCGCATCTTCTCTGAGCCGAGTGGAGGGCTTGGCGCACAGCAGGAGCCACATATTTTTGAATAAGTGAATCCATCCATCACCATAAACATGGAAATATTAACTACCATCAATTTAGTGCTCCCCGTGGGCAGGTCAAATACTTCACATCTATTACCTTTTCTCATCTTGAGAGCAATCCCATGACATAGGTACCATTATTGCTATCTTGCAGTGGGGAGAAACGGGTGAACTTGAGTCTCTGCAGCCTGGAGATTCACACCCATTTCTGAGCGACTCCAGAGCCTATTTGAAGTCGGCTGGCCAAGTGCGGTGGGAAAGACTGAGTTCTCTGGAGGGTCCAAGTAAGGTGGCACTGTGCTCATGCCCATGCAGAATGCAACCCCCTCTTGGCTCTGGTGGATGACTGAGAAGAGAGCGGAGGGCAGAGGGGTGTATGGCACGGAGTGTTGGGCCCCAGTTGTGGGTCTTGGCCCTTGCCATGGCACTGGCCGTGACTCTGAGCAAAGCCCTCCTTATGCTGGGTCAGTCCCGTGGAAACCCGTAGAACTGTGTGCATTGTTTTGGCTGAGGGTCTGAAAGTGCGCTATACACTCTTGAGTGTGGCACCAAGAGGGGTTTGTTTATTATTACTTCTGTTGTTGTTGTTGGCTAGGAGCTGAGAAGAATTGGACCCTGGGCATTCCTTTCAGAACAAGTTGCCCTAAGATGTGCTATTTTGGCATGTGGATCGTTTTGAACTGAAAACAACCAAGGCCCACAAGACTGAGGAAGAAACGTCGACTTCCCCACTTCCCCAACTGCCTACAATGTTTTTTTAGAGAGGACCTGCTCCAGGAAGGGAGCTGTCACCATAGATAATGGCAGTATGACACGAACCAGGTTCGGTGGACAGGGAGGAGGCCGGCAAGGCCCGTCTGATCCAAGTCCTCCCTTTGTCCCGTCGTTCCTGGACGGCCCAGCCAAGATCTGCTCACCAAACCTTTACCCGTCCTGTTCTTCCCGTGCCTGGCCTTCCTTCCCTCTGAAGACCCAGACCCTTTAGTCCTTAGCCCAGAATGACATAGACACCTCATTTTGCCTGACTGTCTTTGGAATCTCTCACATTTATGTCGGTTTTCTGCATGGATGTAATTAAATTTGATTTTCTCCTGTTAATCTGTCTCGTATCAATTAATTCGCACACCAGCCAGAAGAACCTTGAGGGGCAGAGGAAGACTTTTCTTCCTCAGTAGTTGGCCTAACTGGCAGAATAGACTTCCCCGGCCGGAGACGCTGCAGAGGAGAGATCCTAGGACGAACCGCCAGCAGAGGTAAGAATTCCTACCCTGTCAGCAGCCCGGACTCTCTTTCTGCGGGGTCTGGTGGAGCCAAAGTGGGGAGAGTCCTCTTTCTCTCTCTAAATTGAGATGAGCAGGAAAAAATGTTTGTGGAAGTAGTTCCTTGGGTTTAGTGACTCTCGTAAATTTGGGTTTTACGGATCCATTTCCTCTCAGAAAGAGTCACTGCTTTTCTCTGTCTGTGTCTTTCGTGTCATTTGTCGTAAGAAGGAAAAACTATAGGGTATGAACGCAGGTGTAGGTCCTCTAAGTCTGCAGCTGGAGCAGTCTTACAGACTCGGGGAGCTCATGGTTCTCACCAGACCAGCGTCTGTTTAGACAGACGTGCCGTGGGTCAACGTGCACATGAGGTAAAGACTGTTACTAAGGGACATCTTGGAAGCCAAAGTCACAAAATTGGTGGGCACAGATGGAGCACTTACGGGCTGTTAGAGCACTTGCAACCTAACCCCGAGACTCCCTTGTTCGGGTAAGTGGGCCACAGAATGGGTTACGGGGACACTAGGTCACCTGACAACCTCAAGGACACTCCCGTGGGTCCAGGTGCTCTGTAAGACAACACACAGTCCCCCACCCCACAGCGCATGCCTCCGAGGGACCAAAGGCTTAGCTAAAGCTGTTAATGTGCATATTAAAAAAAACTGGGTGAGGTTTTTCCTTTCATCTTGTTCTGGGTTCTGAGAGCTTCACTTTATGACCAGCAAGGATACTCTCTCTGGTCTCCATCATCGAGAGGAGCACTTACTAGAAGTGGAAGAGGCTGGTGCTCCAAGATCTCCTCTTTGCCCAGCTGTGCCAGCTCTCAGGGGGGAAAAAAAGACTTTAGGGGTGCCCAGCTGGTTCCGTCGATAGAGCATGAGACTCCTGATCTCAGCATTATGAGTTCGAGCCCCACGTTGGGTGTAGAGATGACTTAAAAATAAAAGCTTAAAAAAAAAAAAAAGACTTTAAAGCCACAATTCTTGCTTTTGAAACCTGAATCTTTGGAAAGGCAAAAGCGTGACTCTGAGAGAATGCAAAGCCCATTCCCTATCTGCCTCCAGACAATTGCAGATGTTGCAAGGACCTAGAACATTAAAAGAAAAATTGTGCTGGACTTAAGAAAAAAGGAGAGTTTGGGGCGCCTGGTGGCTCAGTCATTAAGCGTCTGCCTTCAGCTCAGGTCCTGCTTCGGGCTCCCTGCTCAGCGGGAAGCCTGCTTCTCCCTCTCCCATTCCCCCTGCTTGTGTTCCCTCTCTCGCTGTCTCTTTCTCTGTCAAATAAATAAAATCTTAAAAAAAAGAAAAAAGGAGAGTTTAAGAAGCAATTTCCCTAAACTGCATCACCCTCAGAAAGTTCATTTCTTCTCCTCCTCAATTTCCCCTCAAATGACAGGTCAGCTGAACTTCAGCCACACCCCAGAGCCCACCATTAAGCCTAAAATAGAGGATGGGGAACAAGATTTCTTAATTGACACTGGTGTGATTTTCTCCATCATCTGCTCAGAAGATTTCCCTCCAGCAGTCCCGTCCGATTCCATCCAGGTTGTCCGAGTCTCTGGGCAGGACGTTTCATTGCCCACATCCCAGACTGCCCCAATATCTTAGGCTCTCTTAACACCATTCGTGCCTTTCTAGTTTCCTTTTTTTTTTTTTTAATTTTATTTATTTGACACAGAGAGAGAAAGCCCAAGCAGGGGAAGTGGCAGAGGGGGAGGGAGAAGCAGGCTTCCCGCTGAGCAGGGAGCCCGACGTGGGGCTCAAACCCAGGACCCTGAGATCATGACCTGAGCCGACTGAGCCACCCAGGCGCCCCTTGCCTTTCTAGTTTCAAACTGCTCACCAGCAAGCCTTTTTGGTAGAGATGTGTTATGTAAATTTAATGCCACTTTAAACTGTAGTGAAAAGGGCATTTTTAGCTCCCTTCCCTCAGACCAAGCCCCAAATCTCCTATTTCCTTTGCTAGAAACTAATTCTGATTTTAATTCCTCTGAAAATGTCTTTTTTAAAAAATTTTATTTATTTATTTGAGAGAGAGAAAGAGCATGAGCAGGGGGAGAGGGGGCAGGAGGAGAAGCAGGCTTCCTGCTGAGTGCAGAGCCCAACGTGGGTCTCGATCCCAGGACCCTGAGATCATGACCTGAGCTGAAGTCAGACGCTTAACTGACTGAGCCAGCCAGGCGCCCCTCAAGAGGATGTGTTTAAAAGACGTTCTAATTAGTCCCTGGGCTACACACGCAAATGGAGTTGGATTGAGTGCCAAGCCTGTGTGCATTGCATTAACTTGGAGAAGGAAAAACAGATTCCATCAGTAGCTCAATATGGGTTTCTACTACCATAGATAAGTAGAGTGTCCCTATGAAATCTTTCACAAGCCAAAGGGGCAGAAAATGAAGAAAGCAATTGCTATCAGTTTATGTGGAAAAATATTTTTGAATGTTCCCAGACCCCAAGTTAACCTCTCTTTAGCTTTGATGATACCTTAGGACACATCTTGCTAACAGATGCACAGAATAAACCAAGACAAAGCACGGATGCTCACAGACACACTTCGAAGCTATGGTGTCTTGATGCTGAGATGCTTTGTGCAGGTCCCTGGGAAGGAGCTGGGCGGGGCCGCTCTCAGCGCTGGGGACGTGTGCGGCCTCTACAAGGGCTCACTGCGCAACAAACGCTGAATGCTATTTTTGCTTCTCGCCTTTTTTCTGTAAAAACGAAAATCCTCTTGGGATTTCTTTCAGTTAGCGAAAGCAGGGAGCAATGTAGGTCTTTCATAAACGCCAAGTGGTGTAACGCAGACTTTTGAAAAGCGGGGGCCACTTGGATCCCCTGTCCAGCCTGGCCGAGTGAGGAGTTGAATCTATAATAGACTTTCTCTTGTAACAGGGTGTACTTTTCCTTACTTCTTCACCCTGGAACACTCCAATCTTGCCAGTAAAGAAGGAAGGTAAATTTGACTGACACTGGAATCAGATCAATTTGTGCAAGACCTAAGGGCCATAAACCTTTGTTCTTCCTCTGCATCCTGCAGTCCCAGATCTGGCTATTATTCTTAGTTCGATTCCTGCTGAGGCAGCCTGGTTTATAGTAATTGATCTCCGCTCAGCTTTCTTTTCTATCCCGTTGCACCCCGACTCACAAATTTCTGTTTGCATCTACATTCAGAGGGAGACAATTAACATGGACTCGCATACTTCAGGAATACTGTGAGTCTCCTTCAGTATTTTCCAAGTACTTAAAGCAGACTTGGATTCTATAGCCTTTACCCAAGGCTCCATGCTTGTTCATTCTGTTTGATCACTTTGTGATCAAACTAAGCTCTTACAGACCCTCATTCTGCTAAAGGCCCTAGCTGAACTAAAGGCCGGAGGGTCTCCGGTCCCAACTTCAATGGGTGCAAACAACTATTACCTACTTAGGACATGAGATAATCTTGGGGCATTTGAAAGCTCACCCTAAAATGCCTTGAGTCAATTTTGTCCATCTCTTTTCCCCAAACGAGAAAGCAGTTACATAAATTTTTAGGGGCAGCTGGCTATTGCTGCCCGTGGATCCCTAATTTTGCAACCCTTGCTAAACGTCTGTATGCCCTTCTCCTAGATACCATATACCCTGGCCCTCGGAGACATGGACGTCCTTCGAAGCCTTGGAACCAACATGTCAGCACCCCCAGCTCTTGCCTTGCCAACTTTTAACAAATCTTTTCACTTACGCTGCCATAAAAATCGTGGGATTCCTACTGGCATTTTAGGACAATCTTGTGCCTCTCAGATATATCTTATGGCATATTTCTCATGCCAGTTAGACCTTGCGGCATCCGGGATGGTCCCACGCTTGCATGCAGTAGTGGCTTCTGCCAATGTGATTGACAAATCCAACGCACTTACCTTAGGTTTCCACATCCATCTCTGTGTTCCCCGTGTGGTGTCTGCTCTCTTTAAAGTTCATAAAACCCAGCACCTCTCTACAGTGACAGACCCCTTGTGAACAAGCTCTTGACTAACCCTTCCATCATCTTAGATGGTTGTCACACTTGAAATCCAGCTACCTTACTGCCCCCCGATGATGGAGAGCCCACTCTATTCCCCATGATTGCCTTACGAGTATAGAAATGGCCTCAAAGCCACAAGAGGATCTCTCAGACATCCCCTGAAACACCCAGACTGACTTCTATTTTGTGATGGCTCCTAGAAATGCTATTTCTGGAGAAACATAATAACTGGGTATGCGATAGTTTCCCCACGTGAACAGTGGAGGCATATTCTTTGCCCATTAAAATCAGCCCACGCGGCTGAACGCCTAGCTCTTACTAGAGCTTGCATGTTGGCAGGAGGGAAAACTGTCACTATTTACGCAGCCTGCAAACATGCTTTTGGAGGCTGCCATGCTGTTGGCATACCTTTGCTGGTACTCCAGTTGCTAATGGGCATATAACTGTTGGCCTATTACAAGCTATTCACCTCCCTTCTAAAGTCACCGTGGTTCATTTGTTCATTGTTCCCAAATTAAGGAAACGGATGCTATATCTTCAGGCAGGGATAGGACTAACAGAGCTGCTAAATATGCAGCCCCAAATGGACCCCCTTATCTTCTCTCCACCCAATTTGCAAACCTGCCTTTGTCCTTGACAGATATGATTAACTTGCAGGCAGATGCCCCACAATCTGAAAAAGACAGTAGCATACAAATGGGTGCCAAACAATCATCAGATGGATTATATATTTATCAGGTCAAATGGACTTCCTATAGCCCTCCCCCCCCTTTTTTTTAACCCTTTGGCTTGTACTTTTCTTCCACCAAATGGGACATATGGGCTGGTAGGGGATAGTTAAGGAACTAA